TGACAGGCTAGAGCAAAACAAACAATGAACATGACCCCTTATCGCTGCATCTCAGTTATGAAGAGCAGAGAGGATGGACCATATCTGTGCAGGGATCAGGCCAATGTGCATCCCATTCACCTGCACGGTCAGATCTCCTGTGCAATCTCTGCATCAACACTGGGCAACATGTGAAAATGTGTGAACTCCTACAGCAACTGGCAGTCAGAATTGATCCTTCCAAGAATTCTCTGAGGCGCCCAGGCTCACTGAAACTCCAGGTGAATCTCAATAAGCGTACTTGTGATCTCATCTTCCATTGCTGAAGACCAGCTCCAATCCTAAGAACACAAGTACAGAGGAGGGTAAAAATCCCTGGATTTCGTTCTTGCTCTGCATCAAGTATCATGGATACATCATTTGCATCCTCACCGAATGAGACCAATCCCATGATTCACAGCGCCCCAAGTTCATTCTTTGGAGGAAAGTTAACAAGACCGATCTTGCAAAGATCGGTCTTGTTAACAGTCTTAGTGTTCCTGGTCTTAGTGTTCCTGTGATTGAGATTCACCCTCTGAAAAGTTTACTGAGAACGGGACGCACTCTGAACCTTATACGAGTATTTCCGCCTGCATTTGTGGGGCTGCACTAACAGTCTGCTGAATGGCGCCCTCTAGTGGTGCAAGATGAGGTGACGCTCTCGCCACGTGCAGCAGGTGCCGTCATTAGCGCGGCCTCCTCGAACTGCTGATAGAACTGCAAGCACAATGCGCGCGCTGTCTGTGGAGATGGGGAAGCGGCTATGCTTCGATCAAGCAGACCCGCGAGCCTTCTCCAGATATCAATTTCTTCGTTCACTTTTTCTCCTTATATGCATTACAGTACATATCAGAAAGAAAATAAACATGTGTTTAATTAGGAGACTTCATTTTAAACCTTTAAAGTTAAAAAACATTTCTTCGTGATCCTAGCCCCGGGGGTCGGTCAGGGGTTTAAAATAACCACCGTAAAACATATCGGTTATTTAGGTACCCCGATAAACAATTAAAAGAGGAATATAATAAATGAATAAATTACTTTTAAAATGTCCTTTCATTTACCTTGAACTGAATGTTTACTTGACATGTTGCTGTGTGTCTAAGGTGTTTTTGTTGCTGTTGGTCATTGATTGGCTTGCATGTGTTACTGGAATTTTTGAAAACAATAAAGTGAAATTCAATTTCGACAGCTGTTGACTTTGAGAAGCAACTCCTTGATGACTCCTCAGTGGGGAATTTGGCCGCGGTAGATGCCGATATCTTTCGCTTGTTTATGGCTGTTATTGAGACGCGCCTCGGCGAAGTGCGTGTGAACCTGACGCGGCCGCACAATGGGAGGCATGAATGCGCGTCTTATGTGCGTCAAGCCGCTGTGACTCCGACGCTCATCTGCATTGTCAGTGACAGTTTGGCGAAATGATGACAAGGCGATGCCCCGTTTAATAATAGCGGTGCGGCTATTACAGAGACTCTGTGGGTGGGGTGTCGCTTTCAACGTGTAAATGAACTGCTGGTTTAAAAAACCTTGTCATACGACCTACATATCGACGGCTCAACTTCCTCATTCAGTAAGAAAATATACTGAATATATTAATCCAGTGAAGTAAACACGGACAGCTGCCAATGAACGAAATGCCATCTGTTAGTGTGCCCTAATCCGCATGGTTTAGACTACCTTACAATGAGATTGTTTACACTGGGCTCTAATATAACTGCTTAAATCTGTTGTTTTCTTCCCAGCACATATAATGGTCAAAATCTGGAATTTAACTATACAAAACGTAGATTTTAGAAAACACTAAACATTTAATATAATTTTGTTATCCCTTAAACGTTCCCTTGGTGCTGTTTTTTTATATTGTAATCAAAAGAGAAAGCAAAACTATATACACGAGACTGTAAAAACTGTCTTTCCCACAAGTAACCACAGTACACATGCTGCAACCAAATAATTTACCTGGAGCGGATAATGAGGCGCCCTTAAGGAAAGCGCCGCTATCCGCAGCTGCAGCGCCGCCACGTGTCTCGTGGTGGAAAAGGCGTCGTAATTAATCTGCACGAGCGCTCCGCGTAGCAGGATGAATTGTTCCCTTATTAACGAAGAGTATTACACTTATTTTTGCATATTTGCGACATTACCTTATGCTGCAGGGTATGGTAACTTCATAGCTGAATGGGATGTGCGTTAATCATTTAAAAATGTTATGATATGATATGACTGAGCCTCGTCCTAAAACTTTCCATAGGTTACAATAATTAAGCGGTTTTTTATATATAAAAAAACTGTAAACATGTTTGATGCAATTTCTTATATTAATAGTTGATTTAGGTCTACTAAGTGCTGGACGATTGTGTGCAGGTTTAAATATGGCATCTAAAACATTTTCTTGTTTTATTCTCTATTTTGCGTAATAGCCAACTTGCAGCGTCATTTGCCCTATGGGTAGTACAAGGTTTTCTTTCCTCCAGTACTACGCTTTTTGTTTTTGACACCGTGAAGCTGCCCGTGAAGTCATGAAGATTAAGTTGCTGCTGTGAAAGTCACTGGGCGGGTTGATATTCTTTATAAGGTACTATCCCAGCATAATGCCGACGGCCGTTAGTAGGAAGGCGCAGGACACAGGCCTATACATAAACCACAAAGAAACACCATGTCGGATCGCGCTTATTTATTGACTGACTCATTCGTTAACGAGCTTTGTTTTCGCCGATCGACGGAATAGCTTTTAACGCATTTGGTAAAGATACTTGCATCTCTTTTTGCAGAAACATTAAAGACAAATCTGGAATAGAATAGAATAGAAAGCCTTTATTGTCATTATACTGGAGCATGATAATAAAGGCTTTCAATAGAGCAATAGAGACATTTCTTTGAATGTTCGTACATCGTTATACAGATTTTGCAGAAAGATATGGTGCTTCTATCAGTATAGACCAGTATCAGACTGTGATCAGTGTGATCCCTGGAGAAATGTTAAGGATTGTGAAAAACAACCGTCAGAGTTAGTAATAGATTTCAATACTAATATTAAACTACAGGGAAAGAACTTCTTGAATGCTGAATGTAATGATAAAATCTTAAGGTCTATACGTCAGTCAAACCATACCCTAATTCTGTTTTTGGGAAACAAATTGACTGGAAAAGAGTTTGGATTACACTTAGTAGATACTGCATAACTAATAAGGTAAAATACGTCTTAAATAAAATAACCCGCAAAGTATACCCAGTTACACGAGTAGCAACCCCTGCCAACCAGGGTGGGTGCGGGGGGTCCTTCCCTGATAGGATCCCGCATTCCCACACCCCTGAGTATACCCAGTTACACGAGTAGCAACCCCTGCCAACCAGGGTGGGTGCGGGGGGTCCTTCCCTGATAGGATCCCGCATTCCCACACCCCCGAGTATACCCAGTTACACGAGTAGGAGCCCCTTAAATATAATTTTAATTATAATTAATGTTTATTTTAATTAAATATAAATAAAATGTGTCTTTTGCAATAGCGACCCAGAAACTCTACGACATTTATTTTGGCTTTGGCCCATTGTTAATACATTCTGGTCTGAACTACAAGCATATATTACAAATGAATATAATATTCATGTTATCTTTAAAGAATCTGACATTATGACTAGTTTTACTATGGAAATAATTTATGTCATTGATTCAATTATCATTTTGGCAAAATATTTCATACGCAAAATCAAATGGTCTGGGAAACACCCTGTATTTGAACAATTTAAAGTTAGAGGTAAATATTTATCTTCAAACTATATCAAAGTGTAAAAACAGAAGCGCTATCCGGACATACTCTACGTTTATCTCTGGAATCTGTTTACGTAACCTTCTGTTGCTGTACGGTATTGTAATATGTGCTCCTGATAACCTTTTTTATTTTTTTATTTACTGTATATATTTATTTAAATATTTTTTTCTGTTAGTTTTGTTTGTTATTCTCTTGTTCTACCTTCACCTTATCTCCTTGATCTATAGTGTGTACTCTTGTTTGTATTGTAATTTGTAACTGTTGAAAATAAAAAAAAAATAAAAAAAGTTAAAAAAAAAGAAAAGAAATAAATGGACCTACTCCCACGTGGTCGATATCTTTGAGAGCTGGATCATGCCTTTTCTTGTCCACTGTGTAGGGGGGGGGGGGCAGTCACCTGAGTCGAAATTGCAATTAATTGGCAAGACCGCCATTGCGCTCTGTTCTGTGCCGGCACTTTGCGCCTTTGCATAGCCTAAGTGGTTTGTTGGTACCCGTAGCAAAAGGTGATGGTGATGTGTGCGTTAACACATAAGGTAAGCAAGGTGCGCCCCCCCAAATGCAAACAGCATACTCCGCCTATGGTTTAAACCTTTTATTTTCCTAAGTAGCTACGTGCTACGTACGAACTTTCAATCTGACGAAGTGTTGTACAAAATGTAGAAAGGGTTTAATAAAACAACAGAACAAAAAAGATGTATTCACGGTCGCTGTAAAATACGCATAGAATATGCGATGTCAGACAGATTGGTTGCTTCTGTTTATGAACTGACTGCAAATGTACTTAAGGTAGATTCGAAATAAAATGAATGTAATCATGTGGCGTGCGCACTGCTGTTTCAGTGGACTCTAAAAAAACAGCTTAAAACTTTTCTTTTCATTCAATTTACTCAAAGCTGAGCACTTTCTGTTTTATGTTTTGTTTTTTCTTTATGGCATGTTTTATGTATTTGTTTGCTGTTTATGTAATGTTTTATACTGAGTCTTCTAAGTTTGTATTCTTTTCCCTGTTTTACTTTGTTTCATTATTGTACAGGGCTCTGTGACATTGTCTGAGATAAGCGCTTTATAAATAAATTACTTACTTACTTACTCTAGCCAAGTTCCTGGTATGGCTACTTGTTTTTTATTAACATATGGACACGTATACACAATAAAGAAGAAAGACACAGCCAGGTTTGGGAAAAAAACGAAAATACAAATCAGGACAGTCTAAATACAATACACAGCAGGAATGACATACAATGGTTGCACAGACCAATTATATAAAGGTATGGGAACGTGTTCTACATGTTGTTATTTGGGCTGATAACGTCAGGGCGTGCCGCTGCTTTTGATTGGCGAGGGCGGTCATCGTATGTCTGGCGACTGTCGTGGCTCGGCCGCTCTCGGCTCCCGTCGGGTCCGTTCGGCCCGCCTCCCGCCTGCGTCACCAGCTTGCGTCAACGCCTGTTTGTGGGTCGCTTTCTGCAAGTGAGCGGCTGCGGACGCGGAAATGGCGGGGATGGAGACCCCCGGGGTGGGCAGCGTGCTTCAGACCCCTGGGTACGACTCGCTGTCCTACAAGGTAAGGAGAGAGCCTGTCGCCCGGGGACGACGGAGTTAGTCGTGTCGGTGGTGCTCGGTTAGGCGCCTGCCGGTACCGGGTCGTCATCCTCTTCGTTTTTTTTTCCCTTTTTCGCCGCAGGACAACCTGATCGGAACCTTGCTGGCGATCTCCGGGAACCTTCTGATCAGCATATCGCTGTGCGTGCAGGTGAGGCTCCCGTCCCCGCGGCACCGTCCCTCCTGTTTGTGCCCCGCCGCTCCGTAACCGGTCCCGATCTCCGCCGCAGAAATATAGCCACCTGAGCCTGGCCGGCAACAAGGACTCCCGTGTTTACTACAAGACCAAGAGCTGGTGGTGCGGGCTGCTGCTCACGCTGCTGGGCGAGCTGGGCGTCTTCGTGTCCTACGCCTTCGCCCCGCTGTCGTTGGTGGCGCCGCTGGGCGCCGTGTCGGTCATCGGTACGTCGCTCTCTCGTCAGTACTCTGTCACATCACATATTAAAATATCACACATAGGTCATATCAATGCTATTTCATATTCAAACCAGTCCCTTCAACTTTTCTTGTGTATTTTTGACCCTAAAGCTAGTAGGTGTACTGAATATGTCAGATGGCTTGTATGGCAGTACGTGTTTCGGTAGTGGGTGTGGGGACCGGGCCTGACTGAAGTGAAACTCGCCTTCTTCCTCTTCACAGCGAGCTCTATCTTGGGCTTTGTCTTCCTGCGTGAGAAGTGGAAGCCCAGAGAGTTTGCTAGTAAGTCTCCCACTCCTGCTCTCTTAGTATCATTTCGCTGCTTGGCCCAGGGGTGCAGTTGAACTTGAAATTTAATGTTCGTCGCAGCACCAGTAGGGAGCACAGTAGTTAAGAAGCCAGCAGGTGTAAATCCTAAAAAGAGACTTCTTGTTGTATTCATACATAACTGACTGAAAATCTCACCCCCTGCTTCAGGTGTCATGTTTATTAGATTAGGTTAGTGGCACACGGCACAGGCTCCTGTTTTGGTAAATCATGGAAGCGGAAAGTTGAACAGCCACAGCATCTTTTGAAAGAGGAGATTTTGTGGATAAGCTAGGTAAAAAAGACAGTGGTCATGTGGCGAAATGTTTTGCGGTTTAAAGTTCCACATGTTTATTAAACATAAGGATACGCCGAATTTATACAGATTAATAACTTGTGGGTGTCACAAATATTTTAGGTGTACCAAATTGTTGCCGTAAGTAAACATTTTTAAAGTACCAAAATGCCGACGTCTGGACAAATGTTTACGCCTGTCATCTGAAACCCCCATGATTATTACGCATGCGCCGTATAATCACGATTTGATATTGTGCAGCCCTATGAAAAAGTGTATTGGATTACAGTTGCACACCCTACGTTTAACGCTCAGTTCCACAGATCTCAGCTCAGTATATTATCAGGACCCCTCCCTGTGTGTGTTTATGGTGACAGCACCCCCCTGTGGTGTTACAGAGCGCTACATCCTCTCCTTCCTTGGCTGCATCCTGACGGCCACAGGGACCTACCTGTTTGTCACATTTGGTCCTAACTCTCACGAGAGGCTGAGTGCTGAGAACATGGTGAAGCATGTCATCAGCTGGCCCTTCCTCCTGTACCTGGTAAGGCCCTTGGGCTGGCATGCTCTCCGGCCCCCTCTGCTGGGTGGGTTAACCTTCGACCTCAGCTGCCCTGCACTCCCTTTCAGCTCCTGGAGATCATCGCTTTCTGCTTGCTCTTATATGTCTATAAGCAGAAGAAGGTGACCTACCTGGTGGTCATCGTGCTGCTTGTGGCTCTGCTGGGTGAGTGAGCATAGCGCCATCCTTCCAGGACAGTTGCTTCTCCCTGTATGTGCTGATGTCCCCCTTGCCCCTCAGGATCGGTGACGGCCATCACGGTGAAGGCCGTGTCGGGCATGACCGTGCTCAGCGTCCAGGGACAGCTGCAGCTCTCTTTCCCCATCTTCTACGTCATGCTGGTCTGCATGGTCGCCACCGTGCTCTTCCAGGCCTTGTGAGTCACTCCCAGCGCCGTCGTCGTCAAGCCACCGCGCTGTACTGACGCTGTGACTCGTCTGATTGGCTGACGCTGTGTGTCTGTCCTCTCTCTCCTGTGGCGACCAGGTTTCTGTCCCAGGCCTCCAACCTATACGACTCGTCCTTGATTGCCAGCGTGAATTACATCCTCTCCACGGCGTTCGCCATCGTCGCCGGTGAGTGTCACACACATTGTCTCACACCCACCTCACCCGCTCACAAGGTGGTGCACTGGGGTCTCATTCCCTGTCCCCGCTGCAGGAGCTGTGTTTTACCTGGAGTTCAACCAGGAGAGTGTGCTTCACATCTGCATGTTCCTGCTGGGGTGAGTGTGAAGGCCGTCCCAAAGCTCGGGGCCCCACCGGGGGGAGCATGAGGGCCGTCCCAAAACTCGGGGCCCCACCGGGGGGAGCATGAGGGCCGTCCCAAAGCTCGGGGCCCCACCGGGGGGAGCATGAGGGCCGTCACAAAGCTCGGGGCCCCACCGGGGGGAGCATGAGGGCCGTCACAAGGCTCGGGGCCCCACCGGGGGGAGCATGAGGGCCGTCACAAAGCTCGTGGCCCCACCGGGGGGAGCATGAGGGCCGTCCCAAAGCTTGGGGCCCCATGGGGTGGAGCATGGGAGCCGTCCCAAAGCTCAGGGCCCCACTGGGGGGAGTGTGAGGGCCGTCCCAAAGCTTGGGGCCCCATGGGGTGGAGCATGGGAGCCGTCCCAAAGCTCAGGGCCCCACTGGGGGGAGTGTGAGGGCCGTCCCAAAGCTTGGGGCCCCATGGGGTGGAGC